AGTCATTTGTTATAACCCGAGTGAAAGGTTGTCCGACTTACGGGTTTATCGCGATTTTATATATGTGTCCGACTTATTATTATCGAATTTTTTTAAATATTGAAAAGGGGCGAAAAATTTTGTCCGAGTTAAGCCAAATCCGACTTATCGAGGTGTCCGACTTATCGAGAGTGACTATGTATAATGAAAAAATTATCTTTAAACAATGCTCAAATAATTGCTAAAAAACGTAATGGAAAATGTCTTTCCACTCAGTATATCAATGCCAAAAGCCCCTTAGAATGGAATGCAAAGAAGGGCATATTTGGTTAGCACCTCTTCACCGTATAAAAAATCGTGGTACATGGTGTCAATACTGTGCTGATAACCGCAACCGTCTTAATCTCGAAGTTGCAATAGAAATTGGGAATAGTAAAGGAGGTAAATGTCTTTCCATCCAATATATTAATAATAAAATTCCATTAAAATGGCAGTGTAATAAATTGCATATATGGTATGCATCCCTTAGTATTAGTAGTATAAAAAATCATAATATATGGTGTCGTCAATGTGTAAAATATGTATTTAAATTAAATCTTGAAGAGATGCAGAAAATTGCGCAATCATACAGTGGCTCGTGCCTTTCTAAAAAATATACCAAATCCAGAGATCAATATTATTGGAAATGTAGCAAGGGTCATATTTGGTATACATCTTTTAGTAGTATTAGAAATAAAAATAGTTGGTGTCCATTTTGCTCAAAATTCAAACGTGAAGGATTATGTCGAGAAATTGTATCAAAATATCTTGGACCGCCATCTAAGATACGTCGACCTGATTTGCTCAAAGTATCAAAATGTTTTATAGGTTTAGAACTTGATATTTATTACCCGGAATATGGTTTTGCAATTGAAGTACAAGGAGAGCAACACGAAAAATATATCGAATTCTTCCATAGAGGAGATCCTAATAATTTTATCAAACAGCAAGAACGGGATCAACTCAAGAAAGAATTGTGCGAAGAAAATTGGATTGTTTTAAGGTATGTTTGGTACTATGAAGACCCATATATAGTTATTCCAGAACATCTTCGAGAATTGAGTAAACTTAGACTTTAAATGTTTTTGTGATATGATGTTGTCACCGGTTTTCTTCGCGAGGCGGCTGCGTCCCCTCACCGTGACAATAGGGCTCTGTAATGTCGATGCTTAGT